ATATCTCAATTCTATCGACTAGATGTATGGTGTCAAGTTAGCACTACATACCATTTTTTCTTAAAAAACGAAAGCTACAAATTTTTTCTTTCCACAGCAAAAAAGCTACAATTAATGCCGCTGTAACCTTTCCAATATCTCAATTCTGTCGTCAATGGCGCATGGTGTCAAGTTAACACTACATACTAAATTTTGTTCGAAAAAGGGTCAACTCAATTTTTTCCAGAAAAACGAAAGCTACAAATTTTTTCTTTCCACAACAAATTTTAAAGTTAAAAGCTACAATTAATGGCATAGTAACATATTGGATATCTCAATTCTATCGACTAGGTGTATGGTGTCAAGTTAGCACTACATACCATTTTTTCTTAAAAAACGAGAGCTACAAATTTTTTCTTTCCACAACAAATTTTAAAGCTAAAAGCTACAATTAATGCCGTTATAACATTTTCAATATCTCAATTCTATCGACTAGGTGTATGGTGTCAAGTTAGCACTACATACCATTTTTTCTTAAAAAACGAGAGCTACAAATTTTTTCTTTCCACAACAAATTTTAAAGCTAAAAGCTACAATTAATGCCGTTATAACATTTTCAATATCTCAATTCTATCGACTAGGTGTATGGTGTCAAGTTAGCACTACATACCATTTTTTCTTAAAAAACGAGAGCTACAAATTTTTTCTTTCCACAACAAATTTTAAAGCTAAAAGCTACAATTAATGCCGTTATAACATTTTCAATATCTCAATTCTATCGACTAGGTGTATGGTGTCAAGTTAGCACTACATACCATTTTTTCTTAAAAAACGAGAGCTACAAATTTTTTCTTTCCACAACAAATTTTAAAGCTAAAAGCTACAATTAATGCCGTTATAACATTTTCAATATCTCAATTCTATCGACTAGGTGTATGGTGTCAAGTTAGCACTACATACCATTTTTTCTTAAAAAACGAGAGCTACAAATTTTTTCTTTCCACAACAAATTTTAAAGCTAAAAGCTACAATTAATGCCGTTATAACATTTTCAATATCTCAATTCTATCGACTAGGTGTATGGTGTCAAGTTAGCACTACATACCATTTTTTCTTAAAAAACGAGAGCTACAAATTTTTTCTTTCCACAACAAATTTTAAAGCTAAAAGCTACAATTAATGCCGTTATAACATTTTCAATATCTCAATTCTATCGACTAGGTGTATGGTGTCAAGTTAGCACTACATACCATTTTTTCTTAAAAAACGAGAGCTACAAATTTTTTCTTTCCACAACAAATTTTAAAGTTAAAAGCTACAATTAATGGCATAGTAGCATATTGGATATCTCAATTCTATCGACTAGGTGTATGGTGTCAAGTTAGCACTACATACCATTTTTTCTTAAAAAACGAGAGCTACAAATTTTTGCTTTCCACAACAAATTTACAACAAAAACACTACAATTAATGCCGTAGTTAACTTTTCCAATTTCGAAAAGTGTAGTGCTAACTTGACACACGTCGACGGCCCACCAATACCGACAGTAAACAACCCAAAAATTTTTGGGGTCACCTTTGATTGCCTGTTCTCCTTCTCCACGCACTCAACCGCAATTGTCAACAAAGCACAGAGCCGCAACAAGGTCGTCAAGTCGCTCGTTGGCAACCCCTGGGGCAAAGACAAAGAAACGTTGCTGGCAACATACAAGGCCATTGACCGGCCGGCACCCGTTTGAACGCTGTGGACGAAGCTACAGGTTTGTCAGAACGCCGCATTCCGAACAGCGACTGGGTGCCTGCTGATGTCGCCTGAGCACCACCTACACAGCGAGACCCTAGTGCTCCCCGTAAAGGAGCACAACAAAATGCTGTGTAAGCAGTTTCTGGTGGGGTGCGACGGAAGTGAACACCCCAATAGACCTTTGCTAGAGGAGGAGCCTCCGCCCAGGCATGTCAGGGGCACCTATTTATATACAAGAACGCGGTCCAGATACACGTAGATCAACCACTGGACCCGATGACGTACCGACGAGCGATCAACGACGAGGCGACTCCCCGCCTAGAATACCGTGATCGAATCTCAATCACCACCTGTAGCAGTGACGGAGCTTCAACTGCCAAGAGAGACCCGCGTTAGACGGGCACAGTTACGGTCTGGATACTGTAGCCGTCTTAACAGCTATCTGTCTAGACGCGACCCCAATATCCCCAATGAGTCCCCGGTATGTGGAGACTCTCCGCTCGACACCAACCATCTCGTCACATGCCAGGTCAATCCTACTCAGCTGACACACCTCTCCCCTTGGATCGACCATATTGAAACATCCCGTTTCCTGGGCCTAGCGTTAGTTGAGCTTGACGACAATGATTGAAGGATGAACCGAAATAGGCGGGGCTTAGTAGTGCCGCTACAACGACAACAACAACCCCATTTGCCCTTCACATTACGGCATATTCTGGTCTGACACATGGGGCTGACTGCGCGAGGTACCAAGACAGCTGGTTAGTCCCTACACGGCAGTTGGGGAAGGGAAGACGAAGAGCGAGACTTTGGTTGCTTACGTAAGGTCCGTTTAGCCGTGAGGGTTCTTCAGGTGCAAGGGGCACCGGCGTACTGCGCGAGTTGTGAACAGCAGTGAAGGTTGTGTTTGCCGTATGGCTTAAGCCACAAGGGCCGCATACCAATTGACCCACTCCCTGTGTGAAGTAAGTTCAGAATCGGTTCTAGTCATTCCAGCACATGAGAATGCTTTGAGTCAGTATTACCACTGCATTTGAAAATGAAAAACAAAAAGTTTTGCAATTGCTATTGTTCAGCGGAAGTCTATATGTAACGGCCTGATCTTGCGAAACAACGCTAAGTTTCCTGAAAGGCCTGGTTAATACTGCATCTGGCATGGAATTATTAACTTTGACAACAAATATGTATCTTTAAAGTCATCTTTTTTTAGAATAAACAGGGAGACTTCTTGTGCTGTGGTCTTCCATTATCCATCAACCCGGAGCCTATAATTGGTCTTACGATGGCGGCATACAGGGCACTATTATAGTTCATACAAGTTTTTTAATATTGTTTACACTTCAATTTCAAATTATTTATGTAAGTAAATATTAGTTGCGTTCGACACAAGGCAAATGCATATATAAATTGGCCTTGGTTTGACAGCACAAAAATTTGTAACATTTCTTCTTATTCGATAACTCCAAAAAAATTATCCATCACTCAAAAATTTACATTTTGGTGGAAAAGAAACGTTCATTTCAAGGCGAATTTATATGTAGGTGTATTTGCGTATTCTTCAAGCAGAAAACTCTCAACAGCAAAATTCTAAGGAATTTTTATCCGTTCTCTCTCAAAGACAGAAATGTTTGCAAAAGGACGCGAACGCAAAACTAACAAAAACCTGCAAGTTTTTAGTACAGCTGATCGAAATTTTGTTTACATAAAAAGCATAAAACAGAAAATATGAAAAGAATATAAATTAAAACTTTGCCTAAAGCAATTTACTAACCAAACATAAGTAAATGAGTGTTAGCTTTCTTTCGATACATTTACTTTGATCAGCTATTTTTATTGTTGGCAAAAAAAAAAAAAATCCAGCAGAAACTAGCAGCTTCTCATCAAAATTAAATGTCAGTTTTGTCTCTCAATTTCCCCTACTTTGCTGGATTTTTGTGTACGCCAACAGCAAAAACTAATCAATAAGCGAATGCACCTTTCGCCTGACGGCTTCGTGTGTCAAATTGAGAAATTTTGTTTGCATTTCCACACACATGCTTACAGATTTTGACAATTTATGCCGCCAAAGCAAAAACAAAATACATGTAAATTTTTGTTTTTGTACTCCTGTTCACCTAATATTAATTCGCCTTGGTTCAATTTGTGCTGGAAAAACTTTACGACAACAAAAATTATCCATCAGGAATCATATCGAGCCCTAACCGCCAAAATAACGTAAGCGACATTTTTTTCAAAATTTTATTTTTGATGCAGAAATGCATCTAGATGCTCTAGGAATATTTCTGCATCAAAAAGAAAATTTTGAAAAAAATGTCGCTTACGTTATTTTGGCGGTTAGGGCTCGATATGATCTGAAAACATGGTTGATTGATATTTTCGAATTTTGGTTGCCTGCTAATATAACTATATGAAAGTGCCAACTAGTTTTTGCTACCAGAAATGTTCCTGGCGAATATTGAACGATATTTTTCTTTTATTCTTCCATGGCGGTCAGATGAAAATCAGCTTGTTTACAAACTAAACACAAACAAAGTCAGCTGGTTTGTCTTCTTCCTCCTGTTTTTGCAGAAGGCTCCTCATTTTCCGTTCGTTAACTTTTTGGTTTTCCTCTCATTTTGGAGAGGATTCTCGCTTAGGCTCTTGATTTGGATTGCTAGCTTATGATGGCTAATTTTGTTATCGAACACAACTATTATGTGTTGAACTTGCCATCACAACTTTTACTTAATTGTAACAATTGCCGATCATATTTTTACGTAATAAATCTGCAATACAAAAATTTTCAACCTACCCCACTTCTGCGTTTATTATTGTAGTCAGTATTACAACTGCCATTGTTGTATTCATTGTCATAGTAATCGTTACTGCGTCGTATATAAGTCGGACCCAATATAGCCTTTACAATACTATCTGGACGATCGTTGATAATCAGCAAGTCTGATGCAACAGCTTTACGCGTTAAGCGCTCGGCGATCTCAACATCGGCGGGGAACTTCTCCATGAATTTATTTTTGGCATTATATAATGCTATACAATGAGATAGAAAAGATTAATCTTTCAATAATGTATTTTATTATTAAGAAATGTCAAAGTAAACACTTACCAGTACCCTTTTTGATGAACTCATCTTTTTTGCTGCATTGGAAAGGAAAAATTTGCTTTGCACTCTTTATATATTCGCTAAAAAATTAAAGAAAAAGCCAGATTAGAGTTTTGTCGCATTGGCTTTCACAAGAAACACGTTTCGACTTACTAGGCATCTTCTTGGAAGAATTTCACAACGCAATATGGCTTCTTTTTTAAGTGTTTTAGTAGTCCTTCTGGTTGGCGGTGCACATCGGTCACTTCGCCGGGCCACCAATTGTTGCCCAGCTTCACCCAAACGATGTCGCCATCCTTATAAACGCGATCGTCTGACATTTTTGCAGCGAATGCGCGCTTATATCATTAAACGGTCAATCAGTCAAAGCGCTTGACACTTGTGTACTCTTACTTGCTGATTTCGTGTTGCAAATTTACTTCAAAGCGCATCTGGCCCTTAAAAAATCCTCGGAGAATGTTTCACATGATTAGTTATTCTGAAAGTAGGAAGAACAAAGAAGCGAAAATTTTAATATGTACATAAATAAATAAATGTGATATTAGAGTAATATTAATTAATAATATAATATAAAATTTTAGTTTCTTGCAGCTAAGTTAGTGTGTAAAAGTTTATGAGTGTTTCTTATTTTTTATTTTTTTCCTACCAAATTTACTTAAAAGGCAGTAGTAAATGCTTGCATAATTATAAATTTTTCAGAATTGTGTTAATATTGAGTCATATTTAAGCATTATTCGCACTCGGACTGTTTTTTTACCAAATACAATAATTTCATAACTCGAGCTCTAATTAAAAAAAAAATAATAATAATTGGTCCAAAATTATTAACTCGGTGAATACATAAGAATAAGAAGAATACATACTTTCACCTAACTTAAATGCCAGCAATAAATGAAGAGTAAAAATGTATTTACGGATTAATTTCATAGTTATTCAGAATTGTCTTCCATACTCACTAACTTCTTAAAATTCTGCTTTATGAGCCATTTGAATACCAATACTGAATAAGTATGAAAAATCATTAAATACATTCTTAGTATTAACTTATTTGTGGCAATCAAGTTGAATTTCTAACTTTGCTTAATTCAGAGATTTCGATAGCGGTCATTCATATGTACACTAACTAAAGTGGTCCAAAAATGTATGTACAAAAATAGGGTCGGATTTTTAATCCCGCCACCACCTAGGATTGTTCTATACCCAAGAAAACATAAACCCATAATAAAAAGATTTAGGGAGTGCTCAAAGCACTCAAAGTTTTCCATATATTTTATATGGAAAAGAAACTTTTCTTAGAATTAGTGTAGAATTCTTGAAAATTAAAATAATCAAACTTGAAAAATTGTCATCCAAATTTCCAAATTTTTAATCAGAATATTTAGAAAATTTTCGGGTATGCTATTTTGTAGCCCATTCAAGTTTAGTCTAATAAAGTGCAAGTTTCAAGGCGCTAATAATTACCGTTGATTTTTTTTGGATTNGTATGCTATTTTGTAGCCCATTCAAGTTTAGTCTAATAAAGTGCAAGTTTCAAGGCGCTAATAATTACCGTTGATTTTTTTTAGATTTTTTTTTTTGTGGAGGGTGTTGCGCATTTTCTTGTTGGAGTTCTGACAAAATATTTTTTTATTTTCACTTTTATTTCAACATAAATAGATTGATTAAAAGAAAAATGCTGATAAAACTAAAATATTTCACGCAAACAGGGTTGAAATTTTAAAAATCTTGCCCGTATTTTCTTTGTAAGTCAAATATTAGTGGCATTGTGGTACTATGATAGCACGGCCGCGTAATCATAGTCAACTTATGCTCAGTCAAGGCGAATTTATAAAAGGTGGTGTTACTAGCTCAGCTGATTTTGTGTATGTGTTTCGCCGCACGGCTTCCGATATCAAATTGAAAAATTTTGTTTGAATTTCTACACACACTCTTACAGATTTTGACAGTTTATGCCGCCAAAGCAAAAACAAAATACATTTAAATTTTTGTTTTTGTACTCCTGCTATCACCTTAATTAATTCGCCTTGTGCTCAGTAGTCGAAAAAATTATAGTCGCACCAAATTTTGACAAGTTTTAAAATATTATTTTTGTTGTTATTTACTTTTTGGTTAGTTTTTTATAGTTCATTCTTTACCAACATCCGTATAAATACAAGTTTAAATGCAGTGTCAAACGATTGGGAATTTCCCGAAATTTGGTGCAAATCGTATACCAATTGTGTGAATGCCCAAATATTTTTCTTTATCCCAATCACGAAAAATAATTTGTTGAAATCAGAACACCTTACATTTATTTACGATGTTTTAGTCATAATTTAGAAGTTTTAAGAATGTTATTGAATTCAGTGGTGATAGTCACTTTTCTATGTTAGGTCATTTAATCGAGTGATATCAAATTAAAATTTTAAAATTTTCGATGGCTCTGAAAATTAGTATCGGAGGTTTTTTTTACCGAATTTGATATTATTTTTTGCGATCCGACAAATATTTATTACAGCTTTCATACAAAAAAAAAACATCCAAAAAGGAAAGAAAACGGCCAAAAACTTTGATTTTCGCATGGAAATGGCCCAAAATTGGTTGGATATATGTACATTTTATTTCTTTTTGCTGTAATTCAACAATTTTATTGATCTTGAAAAACTATTGTCGAAAAGTAACAATAATTTATAAAAATCGTAGAATGGCCTCAAGCTCAATAAAACTGTTCAATATAATTGTTACAAGGCCATAAATATCAAAATATCAAAAACCAAATAACTTAAGGGCGAGCATACCTAAAAGTTAAATCTTCTAAAAATATAATTATTAACAAAAACCAACAAACCACATGATCAAATGTGAATTGCAGCGGAATAGCTGCGCTTGATTGTAGTTGGCTCACATGAAAAAAGTGGAAAAAGCAACAACACTTTTTAAGGCGAACTTAGCACAGTGCGTAGGCAACTGGCTGAGTCAGCTGGGGTCGTTGGACCGAATCTCAATTGTACAAGTTCCATTTCTTGAAGGGCGCTGTAACCGGATTTTAACCGATTCCGAAAAATGAAACCAAATCCTTTTCAAGGACGTCGCCAACCTTTGCTGCCAAAATGGGTTATTATAATTCATACTACCCGACGAATCTAGCGGGGGTTCATTGTTCTTTTTCAACGGAACTGGAAACTCAGCGTGCAACGCGGTCCTGGTCACAACTTTCCCTATGCTTTTGAGAACAATGAATTTTACAATGATTTTTCTAGTAAAATGTCTAAATACTAGTTAGTTTTCTTTTCGATTATAAAAAATGTTCCCTATCAGTATTAGCAATGATTCGTGATTTAAAGATTGTACAAAGATTCCAGATTAAACAGAAACCCTTCAGTGGGATGCGAAACAAACTGGCGAAGGTTTTCATTATTTTTTATAAGGGAAGATTTTCACAATTTTTGTTTTTTTTTTTAAGCTGATTTCATTTTAAATATAAATAATTAATTTTGCCTTAGCAAATGCTTTTACTCGAATTTTTCAAACTAATTTAAGTGAAAAGTATGAAATTTTAAGTAAAAACAATTGCTTATTTTTTATGCTTACGGTCCATTGTGTTACTCAATTGACAATTGTCAACTGAAAAAGTTTGTATGCGATATAGAACTCGAGATCAGTGAGCCTTAAAACCTAGCACGTTTAAGTCTTAGGATTTTTTCCTTATTTCTAGAGAAATTTACAGCCCGTTCGACAGCTGCCAACTCTCAACGTTTTGATTTGACGTAAAATTCGTCTCTAGGGTGTCTAAAACATTTATTAGTCGACAGCTGTCAAGTGTTAGTGTTGAGGTCTGCGCGTTGATGTTGTCACACAAAGCGGAGGGACCTACAGTTTTACGCCGACTCCGAACGACGATTATATTTTAAGCTGTTCTTCATGGTAGATATACACTCGGAGGTTTCCTATTGCCTGCCGAGGGGCGACCGCTGTTAAGAAAAAACCTTTCTTGTACATTTTTTGCGATTTTGCTTTGACCATGGCTTGAACTTGTGGAGTGGAGCGGATAACCACAGCGGCCGGATTTAGCATTAGAAAAATACTACGATCCTGCAGTTTTACTATAATCCGAACAGCCCTTCTAATTGTTCGCGTAAAACATGGGGGGGGGGTTCTGGAAAATTTTTTTTTAGTTTCACTTTTATTTCAACATATTTTGATTAAAAGAAAAATACTGATGAAAGTAAAATTTTTCATAAAAACTGGGTTGAAATCTTGAAATTCCTGCCCGTAGTTTGTTTGTAAGTCAAATATGAGTGGCATTGTGCTACTATGATATCACGGCCGAGTAATCATAGCCAACTTATGTACAGTCGTCGAAAAAATTATAGCCGCACCAAATTTTGACAAGTTTTAAAATGTTATTTTTGTTGTTATTTAATTTCGGTTAGTTTTTTATAGTTCGTTCTTTACCAACATTCGTATAAATACAAGTTTTTTACATAGCGCCTTTGCAAGTGGACTGCTCAAATTTGGAAACATGAATTTCCACGGGTTTTGTTAAAGAACGAACTATATATTATATATTTTTTTTAAATATAACAAAAGTTCAATAACAACAAATATAATACGTTAACACTATAATTTTTTGACCACTGTATGTATTTTTTTATATCTTTAATTGGACCTTTACATTGTACATAAAGGAAGTACATAACAAAATTAAAAGAAATATGTGCCTTTTTTTGAAGTTCGTTTTACCTTTTTCAAGTTTAAGTGCCTTAAAAACCTACATTTCTACATTTCGGGGGGGTCAGAAAACGCCCACCCCCCCCAAAATATGGCCTTGAAACGCTGTATGTATTAAGGCAGAGGTGCTCAACAAATTTAAGTTACTGAGCCAAACGACAACCACATCAATACCAATTACAACAACATCGTTCTGGGATTTGCAAAAAATATTTCAACCCCAAAACCAACAAATCAATGATACAAGCATACAGCTGAGCAAATACATACAAGTCAAGGTGAGGCAGCAGCGAATGAATGTCGATCGATTTTGGTCCCGCTTGTTTTGCCGAATCAACGCTTGATTTGTTTGTTTTGCTTGTGTTTGTTGTAAGTGAGCCAATGTGAGCCACAGTGGTGTTGTTGTAAGCCTACTGAATGTCGATCGATTTTTAACGGTGAACATTTTGCGCATTGTGCTTCCACGATTTTTGTGTTTGTTGTAAGTGAGCCAAAGTGAGCCACAGTAATGTTGTTGTGAGCCAACTGAGCCAATTGAGCTACTGGATGAGCAAGCCTGTATGGTCAATTTTTGGTAATGACTTCATATATATTTTATTTTTTATTTATTTTTATTAATTTTAATTTTTTTAACTCTTAATTTTTAAATTTTTTTTATTTATTTTTTTTTTATTTTATTTTTTTTTATTTTANTAATTTTAATTTTTTTAACTCTTAATTTTTAAATTTTTTTTATTTATTTTATTTTTTTTATTTAATTTTTTTTATTTTATTTTTTTTTTTTATTTTATTTTTTTTTATTTTATTTTTTTTTATTTTATTTTTTTTTATTTTATTTTTTTTATTTTTTTTTTATTTAATTTTCTTTAATTAAATATTTTTTTTTAATTAATACTGCAAAAAATCTTATCACTAAAATACTTACCATAAGTCACAACAAATTTGGAGGCGAAAACATAAAGAAGGTACACAGGAAACTTAAACAAAATAATTATCCCACGCATTTAACAAATTTATTTTATTTTATTTTTTTTTATTTTATTTTTTTATTTTATTTTTTTTTTTTATTTTATTTTTTTTTATTTTATTTTTTTTTATTTTATTTTTTTTATTTTTTTTTTATTTAATTTTCTTTAATTAAATATTTTTTTTTAATTAATACTGCAAAAAATCTTATCACTAAAATACTTACCATAAGTCACAACAAATTTGGAGGCGAAAACATAAAGAAGGTACACAGGAAACTTAAACAAAATAATTATCCCACGCATTTAACAAAAAGTCTAATCGAACAGGCGCTCATGAGAAGTAATAACCAACCCTCTGCGGAAACAAAAACTGAGCCAAAACAATTTACAGTGTCACATACGTCCCCAAGTTAACTCAAAAGTTCACCCACAACATTAACAACAACAAGAAACACATAACTATAGCATACAAATCGAATTGCACTCTGTCCTCGGTATTCACGAAAACGAAAAGCCCCTTCGAGCCACAACAACAAAGCAACGTAGTATACGAGATTAAATGCAAAGGTAAACGAAACGAGGACTGCAACCAAGTCTACATAGGTACAACAAAACGATCACTAGGCACACGATTATCAGAGCACGATGCGGACATAAGGAAAAGGAAAAACAATACAGCACTAGCACAACATGTAATAACGAACGGTCACACAGCTGATCTAGTTAGTGCGATTTTTGTTGCACGGCGATTTTTGTTGTCGCAACTCGACGTTTGTAGGAGAGAGCGTGACGAGGAAAGGAGAGGGGCACCGAGTTGCTTTGTGCTCTCGTTCGTCTGTGTAAATTGAGTTAGCGATTCACAGCTGACCACAACAATTGCATACACAAAAATCGTCGTGTGTAAATGAAATGAGCAACACCAAAAGGGAATGTGAAAAATCGCGTCGACAAAAGTTTCCGTGTATAAACGCAGTCTTAACACANATTGCTCGTTTGTCACAGACACGGTTTATGTCAAAAATTTTGAAGTGAAACTACCTTCTAAAAATTATTGTATCATGCGTTAGAGAGCCTCCGCATAATGCGAGATACAGAGAGGACAGTCAACAAAAAAGAAGACACCAAAGTTTGTTGTTGTCTTTGATCATCACATAAATGTGTTTTTATTTGCTTTAATAATGTATAATTGTAATTGTATGAATGTTTTTGTTGTTTTTCAATAGATTTGCGCCCCTGAAGAAGTTAAGGAAGTTAGCGAAACGTCGGGCAAAAAATGAAGGAAACTGTGTTTTCACTTGCACTAGCACCAGTTAGATCAACCAAAGCCTATACAAGCAACAAAATTAATTTTTTTTAATTTAAATTTTTTTTTTCTCAATTTGTAATTTTTGTTAATTTTTATTTATTTTTCTCAATTTGTAATTTATGTTAATTTTTATTTTTTTATTTTAATCTATTTTTTTTAATTTTTATTTTTTTTATTTTCATTTTTTTTTTATATTTTTGTTAAGTTTGAATTTATATACATCTTATTTTTACTGTTAAAACAAAAAATAAATTTTCTTTAAGGGGCTTAAAATCACTTGAAATTTTCGTCGCTCAAAGAGTTAAGTTGGAATCACACGATTGCTGCAAATGCACCAATCTGGCACATTTTTATTGTGCTGATTTGGCGCACAATAAAGAAATGGCCCTAATCAAATTATGTGCAGTCACACCATTGCCTGTTTTTATACAATTGTTGTTGCACCCGCTTTATGTTTGATTACACGCACAATCGATGTCCGCATGAGCCGATTTATTGTGAGATCACACGATTGGGATATAAACTAAGGCAATAATTGACGCATTACGGCAATCGTGTGATCTGGCATTTACCGAGGTTTTCTTGCCGGTCAGTTTATTGCCCATATGAGTTTTGGTAAGTGGCTTAGGAGTTAGTGTGATATTTCCTTACAGTTGAATAAAATTAATCTTTATAATAATAATATATAATAATATTCAGCATGTACAGGGTGGCGGCGAAAAAATGTTACCGAGGTTGTGTTTTTTTTTTTTTTTGAAAAATAAAAGGATCCTTTGCGAAAAAGGTATTTTATTGTTAACTTTCGCGCAAGTCTTCGTCGGTTAATTTATTTCACATCTTCTTTAACCCTAGGCTAATTTTCTTCATTTTGAGTCCAGAAATCGAGTAGACTCGAAACTGGTGACTCGGACGGCTATTCATTCGACCAACCCTATACAGTTTTTATTTTTTCTTTCTTTTTTATGCAAAGCCTACGAAAAAAATCCCCGGAAAAAGCCTTGCGTGCCACAAGTATTTATCGCCCAAAGTTTACAATGGTGGAAAATGCAAATAAGGATTAAAATTTTAAAACTAATTAATAAAGTTAAAGTTAAATCTGTGGAAAGTTAACAATAAAATACTTTCTTTGCAAAATCTATAAAGGAACATTCTATTAAAAACAAAAACTGCGTGACAGTTATTCGTCGCCACGTTGTACATACATACATATGCTTGAAAGATGGAAAAATTCATATCCACCTATGCGTTGAGTTGTTTTTGATAACCAGATGAGAGTTCATGTAATTTATAGAAACTAATTTTGAATATATTTTGTATTTTTCTCGGCATCTGAGCCCACAACAAGTGCTTGAATGCATCTGAAAGATAATAAGATGGAAACTCGTCGAACTCTTCGCATTATCACAAGTAGACGATTGCAAAATACCTATATACATATGTACTACATATACATGTACATACATATATACTTGTCTGTACTTCCAACTGCTTACTCACAAAATATAAAACCACTTTAATTGCTTGACAGCCTTTAAAGACATTTAATAACAAAATGGCCGCAATCCTCCTTCTGCACGCACAAGCCATAATATGTAATTTCATTATGGTCTCAAGGTTGAAGTATTGGATTTCATTTAATAATATCGAAGTAATTTTTTAGGGTGAAAACGCAGTATAAAAATGTGTGCCAACACAAAAACTGGTATGGAAGTGTACTATATACAGTCAGTGCCAAATGTAAGTATACACCTTGTTCTAATACAATATTCACATTTATTTTAATGACAAAATTTCCAATTTTTATCGACTTGAAACTGGCACCTTGTTTACTAAAATTGAACGGGCTACAAAACTGCATACTCGAAAATTTTCTAGAAATTCTAAATAATAAAAATTTTGAAATTTTGATGAAAATTGTTTGAATTGTTTGTGAACTTTATATAAAGTGTGAAGCTTTGATTTATATGGTTGTTGTTATAGAATAATCTATATTTTCATAAATAATAAATGAAAAATTTTTTTCTTGAAAATAAGTGTTAATATTATATTAGAACATCGTGTACACTTACATTTGGCACTGACTGTATGTATATGTACGAGTATATACTTGTGTATAACTGAATAAATTGGATTACAGGAAGATCCGCCACAAGTTAAAACATATACTACTGTGTAGAGTTTCTGATACTGATGGTTGGCAAAACGTGAGTTAGGGCTATGTTTATGGCTTAACATGTTCGCAACCGAGATCGGCAAGGTTATTTTCTTACTTTTTGATTTTTTACCTTCATTTGCTGGTACTTACTATGAACAATTACCCCTCTCTCGTTTTTCCAGCAGGCGCAAACTGCAGTGAAGGATTGGATGAACTACTCTCCACTTAAAACCTAAAAAAAAAAACAGTTTCAATTCCCTAATTGGAATTTAAAGGGATTTGTCAAAACAAAGTGTCCAAACTCATAATGGTAGAAGTTAAAGGGTTAAACAAAACGCAAACAAATTTACTACAGGCCTCTGAAGATAAGAAATTTGTTAGCAATAGCGGTGGAGAAAAATCGTTTTGGGGCTTGACTATAACGTATGGAAACTTTCTAAGTTTAGTAAAGCCCTTAAATGCCTCTAATTGTATGGTCCGACCCTTTCCAAAATGTTTTAAAGGTTATATGAAATTCAAGACTAATATTTATTTAGAGCACATACATACATACATATTTATGCACATACAGTGGTGGAAAAATAATAAGGACGCAACATTTTAACCAATTTTGTTTATTTAATATTTACTATTTTGTAAAAGTATAGCTCATTATCTGACAAAAACCATTTAAATTCCTGTTTCAAACCTTGTGCAAATATTATAAAACAAAAAATTTAGATAAAATTTTGCAGTATGCAGTTTTATAACCCATTAAATGTTAGTATTATTAAGTGCAAGTTTAAAGTAGCTAAAAAATTGTGTTGATTTTTAATAATTTTGTACACTTTTATACAAAAATATTAAATATAAAATAAACGAAAGATAAGTTAATAGTAAAAAAGTAAAAATAAATATTTCTAGAACCAGCTTTCTAGATATGAAGCAAATCGGACCATAAATACTGGTTTACCAAATATCTCGACTCCTGCAGCATCTATCGGCAAAATTTTTTAAGGAGTTATTCCTTTTCATGTAAATAATGTACGTGAGGCCACGAGAGGAAAAGTGGCCTTTTTTGTACTTAACTTCTTAGAACAATTTCAAATGTGATCAATTTTAAAATAAAAATCGTTTATTCCTTGCTTTGATGGTACGCTACTTAGCTACTTAGCTTTGTACCTTAAAATTAAAGAAGAGACAACTTTTATTTTTATATTTTTTTGGGTGAGGTCAATTCTACACTCATGGCCTCAAATATGAACAAAATCGGATTACAAATCGGTGTTTTCAAATATCCCGACTCCCGCGCCACCTATTGCATTAATTCATATATCGTATTGCATTGTAATCGGCTTCTGAGCCATCTGAAAGTTTCAAGTTTGTAGGAAGAAACATACTTACATACATACAGAGCAAGTTAAATAAAAGCTTGTAAAAAATAGGCAACATTTGTTAACATGTCGCGTCCCTAAATACATATTTTTCCACCACCTCGTTTCTCTTCTGTGTCAACTGACACCAATTGGAAACGCCAAGTGAAGCCAAGTCTTTCTTCACCTGGTTTTCCTATCGTAGAGGTGAAGGAGAGCTGGGGCGTTTTGTCTATTCGTACGACATGACCCAGCCAGCGGAGCCGCCGTATTTTAATCCGCCGCACAGTGCTATATTGAGGTGTTCGCCATCGCCAACGCACAAAGGAAGGTAAATCTAATAAGCAGAATCTTTCTCTCGAAAATTCCAAGAGCCGCCTCATCAGATGTTTTTGTACGCTCTTGTAAAAAATCATTCCTGAGCGGTTCAGTCCTGCGGCACTTATTATCTTCTCCTACATCAGATTCGATGTTTGGCACTCGGAGTGTACTTACCATCTAAAGCACTGGAAGCGTGCTTTCTGTCTATAACAACATGATCGATTGGGTCTCTCATTTTTCGATCTGGAGACATTCACGCAGCTTGCCCGCCTTGGCGTGGACAATTCACGGCGACGGAGTGCAACTCTCACCACAAATTCAACACCGAATTTGCGCTCTTTTACGTGACATTAATGGCCTTGCACCGATCATCGCGTTTCTTTGTCTTCATGAGGATATGAGCCGGACAGAGGCATCTTTCCCATTATGGGTCGGGACATTCTTGGTGCATGTCTTCAAATCGTAGTAAGCGCGAGTTGCCACATCTTATATTGTGGAAACTTCAACCGAAAGAACGTTCAGAAGGAGTCAATTAATTTTATTTTGTGAAAACTTTTTTTCTATGGTACAAGCTTAAGTTGCGCCGGATTAAAGCCTTAGAACGACTGTCAGAGAAAAAATCGTTTATGGTACTCCGCTATTTTGTAAAGCTATCGTAAGCCATTCTCCAAGTTTTAAATTCTGTTTCTTCTGAACTCTGACTCCAAACTGCAGGAATTTACTTACCTCTTAAAATAAAACTACACCACCGATACTTAATATAAGTAAAATATTTACTTCAAATAAAGGTGGTAAATTATATGAAATAACAGGTATGCTCAATTTTTTTTCGTTTAGTTATGTTCACAAAAAACTCTTTCCCCCGATCTAACTGAAAAAAATTTACTTTTAGGAAATGAGCATCTATGTACACATTTTCGCAATGAATGAAAGCAAAACACGGGTTATTTTGAAACGGACAGAAAATTAAATGGAAACAATAAGAAAAAGAAGTGATTGTCCTAAAATTCTTGGGAGAGATCTGAAACTCTCCAATCCTACGTAGCTTACGTAGAAGGGGAACCAGCCAAAGAGACGACACCTTTCTCTAGCTGAGGATTCTCCAGGCACACTATTCCATAGAAAAAGAACATTGAGTGGAAGCCAAAGCGATGCCTCACTGCCTTCAGGTACCCCGCAGGGAAGAACTTTTTCGTCGACTTTTCTAGCCTTCCTTATCGTGGTTTCGTAGTCATATTTTATACGGGTTTCCCACTTAGAAAGTCGTCTGCGAAAGCGTCCTATCTTCGAAATGTTTCGAAAATCTATTCTTGAGAATTTTTCTGAGGTTGGAAGTACCTTGTGGTTCACAATCCGTAAGTACACAATGAAACACAGACGGGTCAGCGATGCATTAGGAAACAGGTGTAGATACATACATATATTACAGCTTAGGTTTTGCTTTATTTTTGAATGGATTGCTGAATTCAACAAAAAATGTTGACAAATTAATTATTTTAAACCCTGTATGAGCGATTTTCAGTTTGGCCACCCTTGAATTAAGGTCTTCAAAGGGCCAGTCAAGCAACGTACGCTGCCCTTAAATGGCTCTGCAGTGCTTTGACCCATTCCCGGATAAGCACTTGTTTGAGATGTTCGACACTCTGGTATTTTTTAATGACAAATTTACTTTCCAGAAAATTCTAATGACCACTAGAAAGCAGACACGCCAACCAACGACGGTGATGGTTTGGGCCGCCATAGCGGTTGATTACGATCTCAGCACGTATTTTTGAGCCGTGGCCTCAAAATAACTGCACAGTTATATCGGGAAACTATTTAAGAGGCTGTTCTGAAGCCTTAAGCAGACAACTATTTCGGTCGCAGATATCGGACATTCTTACAGGACTCACGATTCCTTTTGCGTCTCACTCAATCGGTAATACCATGTTAACCGGTTAAGACATATCGCGCGCAGGGGGCAAAGGTCATATTCCTCTATGAAGACTGAACAAATTTAAACTAAATATTATTTTCATCTAATACCCAAATTCGATACTACTATAGTGGAAGATAGTACATATAAATTTTGGTCCCGATTGGAATCGGTTAAGGTGTGTTGCACGGGCTAATCTGAATTTTGAAAAATGAGACTGGATGTTTACTAGGGTGAATGACTCGGTTTTTCCAAACCGGTTGCCTGCGGCTTTCTAGATATCTGAGTGAAGCCGGTTTTTTTTTGAAATCTTGAATTTTCGAATATCGAATAAATCGCATTTTCTTATCGCACAAACTGTTTTTTTTTTATTTCATAAAAATCTTGACTTCTCAATAAAAGATTTGAATTTTTCGAAATTTTAATGATTCCAATGATAAATAAGAAGCTTCTGCTTCTATTCGTGCTCTGCTTCTTCATGTTGTGACACAAATGGCTGAAGTACACGCCGAAGGGTGGCCGGTATTTGAAAAACCTTTTTTTATGTTGCTGGCCCTAATACTCAATTCGAATAACTCGAAAAGCGGCTTTGTAAAAAAGGCGAATAATCGAACATCTTACATATATATGTATGGGGATTAGATTACCATGATCATTATCCTTTGTGGCACGGAAGAATTCTTGGGCAATCAAGATCATGGACGTATTTACAGGATAAAAAAGGTCCTTAAGTCACACTGCCCCCTTTCCTCTCATTTTCATCTGGTGGCTTTTTATGGTGGAATGCATTGTATATAAGGCATATATTTTAGCACTCATTAATTTTCCCCCGGGTAATATTAAATAAAACAACAAACGGTGTAATGTGTTCTCATCACTTGATAGTTTATTTGGGATTCAGTACATGAAGCTTTGAGTTTATTTAATGACAAAGAATTACACTCACAAAGTTAATTTTAGTTGCTATGTATTGAGTTACAACAATCAATTTTTTTTTAAGTATGTATTTATTATGTTCGTGATTGGTTTTGTTTTGGTTGCTTGCTACAAAAAGTTTCAGCCTAAAGTCTTCTTACCTCCTGCAAAATTTAATTAAACTGAACAAAAAATTTAATCAATAATACAAAGAATTACACTCACAAAGTTAATTTTGGTTGCTATGTATTGAGTTACAACAATCAATTTTTTTTTAAGTATGTATTTATTATGTTCGTGATTGGTTTTGTTTTGGTTGCTTGCTACTAAAAAGTTTCAGCCTAAAGTCTTCTTACCTCTGCAAAATTTTAATATTTAATTAAACTGAACAAAAAATTTAATCAGTACTAAATTGAATAAATGACAAGCACCAACAACTTGGAAAATGAACAAAAAATATATTTTCGAAAATTATTTGATTTATTACAACAATTTTGGTAAGAACTAACATAGATTTAAGTTTAAAATTAGCAAATATTCTTAGCGCTTAACGTTTTACATAAAAATTATATACGATAGCGTATGTATAATGTGTGTATGGTTGGCTGTTTAGCCCGTAAATACGTATAAGAAAAAAGATCTCACAAACGCGTACAACTACATTACCTTCATAAATAAGTACATATCAGTATATATATTTGCATTTAGCTAAAATTATTACAAAATCGAGTCCAGTCATATCCAAGTTGCAAATAGTAAACTTTCGTGCCATTAAAAAACTTGTTTCAAAAAACTCCATCATATTTGCCAAAGTTTTAATACAAAAAAGCGGCTGTGCAAAAATCACCACCAGTTATCGATTACATTTCAATCTTAATCCTCACTTAAAACTTCAGTTCGAATGCTATGTCTATTTATGTTATTTATAATGTATTAAATCTTGGGAGATGTGCCAGCAGTCCTCGCTTTAGTGGAGCTCCGGGTTGCCGTCAGAGGTGGGCGTTGTTGTTCGAAGCCTCATCGTTCGAGCCAACAACCACGCCCTCCTTGACCACCGCCAATCCATTGCCTATAACTCTGGTTCTGCCATTTGCCGCGGTGACATCGTCACCTACTATCAAAACCTTACCCACGCCGTCGGGTGCCACCAAGTCGCCACTCAATCCATCCAGACCTAAGGACACATCGCCGGGTATCTTCGGCTTCGGACGATGTGTGTCGACTGCATCAACGGGCAACTTTATGTGCTCCACCTTACAGCCGTAAGCTACCGGCGTCAACTTAATAACCGTGTGCAGCGGCACGAACAAGTACGGCAATTCGTCGGCCGACTTATCCAGGAAGTAGGCAAACAAACAGCGCAACACAGCTTGATGTGAAACTACCAACACATTACCTTGACGTTCCAGCTCCATTATAACTGGCTCGAGACGTGCCACCAAATCCTCGTAGCTCTCACCGCGTGGGTAGCGGTAGGCAAACTTGTTAATGTCGCGTGCCTTGAATTCCTCGGGGAACTTCTCCCTGATCTGCTCGTAAGTCATCTCCTCACAATGGCCAGCGTCTATTTCATTCAATGCCTTCCAGCGTTCCTGTGGTGCTTTCACATCCGCTACCGTTTGTATGGCACGCTTCATCCACGATGTCCACACGCGCAAGCCATCAATATGCTGCTGCTCGATGAAGGCATTCAAAGCTTTGGCGTACTGCCGTCCGCGTTCACTCAAATTCGAGTCGCCACCAATTAGTCCCTTCAAATTATGCTCACTTTCACCGTGACGCGTCAAATAGATGGTACGTGGTGATATGTGGGTATTCATCAGATAGTAGACGATACGGGATTCCACATGCCCCTCGTTGTTGTAGACGACGGTTTTCTTGCCAGCATTATAGATCTTCAGGAAGCTGAGATGTGACTCAGTGTCCTCATCAATAGGTTGGTAGCGCTCTTCGTAGTGTTCGATGCGTTGCAAAAAGTCGCGCACCACCAGATCCGTATTCATATTAAGGTAGTCGGGCGAGCTCACCTTCACCTCCTTAATGTTTTGTTCAATAATAGTCGGATCATCACAGATCGATTCCACAAAGAACAAACGGAAGTTATGTTTCTTAACCACTGTATCGTAGATTAGCTGCCGACGATCGGTTGTCGAGTTTGTGGCATCAAAGACGGCGACACTGCCCAAGCCGCTTAACAGCCACTCGCAGGCATCGTGAAGTGCCTGACTGGCACAACGTGACCGTATAGCCATTGCCGCTTCATTATCAGCACGGAAGAACTCATGCGACTTGTAGGCGGTCGTGGCACAACGCCGATATTCGCCCAAGTTGAAGACGCGCGTCGATATGCCAATCCAGTTCAAGTAGCGTGCCAGTTTCTTCGAGATGAAGGTTTTGCCGCGTGCCGGCAAGCCTACCATAGCGATGACGTGCGGTGTAGTAACATCGGTTATAGCGCGTTCACCACGCACTGGAAAGGGTTTGGTCATCACCGTCTCTGATGTGGGCGGTAGTAGCTTACGCAATTCGTCAGACATGACGCTCGGACAAAGATGCAATTCATTCTCGATGGCAAGATCAGCCGTTTTCTTGAGTTGATTGAGCGAGGTGGTACGCACGCGGAGCGAGGGTGACGTATTGAAGGGCATATCCATTATGCTGGTGGCGGTCACAGAGCGTACAAGGGACTGGTGCTTGATTGCTGCGGCAACGACGGATGCTGTGGAGGAGAGCAGTAGGGAATTTGTGAGGGTCAATTGGGTTTGTGTCTTTTGATTCTTCAACTTTTCAATGGGCAATTTGGCGGGAAAGGTGGAGGAGGAGGTGGATGACGAACAGGGCGAGGGTGACGATGAAGTGGACGTTGACGACGAGGACGATGAATATGAGCCGATTATGGATGGCGGTGGCGTTGGTGGTGGAGTTGGTGAAGCTACCAGTATGGGTTGCGGCGGCTGTTGAGTTTCAATGTGGTGAACTTGTGTGTTAGCTTGGCTGTAAGTAGATGGTGAAAATGTTTGCGTCAATGTATCTGACGGCAATGTGGTGAATGTAGTGGATGTTTGAGATGCTGTTATCGTCGTTATGATTGTCGCTGATGAAATGGTTGAGTTCAATGAAGCCAGTGCATTTGGTGAAGTGGTCGCAACTGGCTGCGATAATGGTGAAGATGAAGATGAGAATGGTGATGAAGATGATGATGATGTTGGTGATATGGTTACATTGATACGTTCAATATTATTCATATATAATCCTTTTAATTCAACTTAGGCAATACAATTCAGAAAGTATATATATAGATTTTAACTAGCTGCAGTTTCAATTTATGGAATTTGGGTGACGAGGGTATGCACTTATTACAAGCTTTCGTATTTCGTCAATATATCTCGGTTGTATTTCTTTTTAAACGCAGTCTGGTGGACGTTGTGCAGTAAACTTTTAAAGTTGCTCAGCGCAGTGAGTGGAGCAGAAATTTAACTACCCCCAGCCTGACTGTCTGCTTGTTTGCCTGTTTGCCTGCCTGCCTGCGGGCCTCTTGGCCAGGCCTATTGTATTCGAAGTCTCGAAGCGCTTTTGTTGTTCTTGTTGTAGGAAAGTTGTTATAAATAGTTTTCTGTGAAAAGGTTTTTTCACTCTGTCTCGACTGTAAGAATTTTTTCTTATGCGATTTGCTTGCTGCAAATAAAATTTAGAACAAAAAGAAAATTCCTTTTAAACACCACAAAATTCACAAATAGTACAACGCCAAGGAAGTAAAGAATGAAAGTATTCGTATATATTGATCAGGCAAGTGAATTTACGACTATACGAATACCATCGAGTTTTCTTTATTGGATGGAAGGATGAAATCGGAAGTGAAATTTGACGATTTCTTTTGAAGTTTGAAAAATAAAGCGGTAAATGTAATAAGAAACGAAACTAGATCGAGCATTAATTGAATTAAAAAAGAGAAAATATATAAAGCATGGTAAAAAATGCAATTTTTACTTTCATTTTCATGCCAAACGCAAGAGCTTTACATTCCGTCATATACATTCCGTCAAAATAAAACCTGATCTACATCAGTCATATAAACGGGTCTCTTTATTGATAGCTAATATGTTAAATTCTTCCATGCTGTTATAGTTTGAGGCAACAATTTATTTAAGTATATATGCCGGTTTTAGAGCTAAAGACCGAACTTTCGTTTTTGGAGCCATTGTTTTCAAAAAAAAAAAAAAAAAAAAAAAATTACTTAAGCAAGAGGTTTGTAACTATTTTGATATGCACACTTTTGTGGAATGGAGATGCCAACAGTTTATAATTTAAAACTAAGCACGAACAATTTCGAAACGTGGGTATCAAACGAGACATATTTAAATACACTTTGATCCAAAAATATCTTTAAACAGAACAGTCACCTACCTAAAACTAAATTTGTTAAAATACTATAACACTAGAATCAAAAGGAGACTTAAAGACAAACTTTAACACAAATTAAAAATAATTTAATTTTGAGAAGACACCTTTCTAGAAACCTCTTAGAATAAGGTTGCCATTTCCCATAAAAAAAAAGAAGTAATTTTGGTAGCTTGTGTTGCGTATTTGAAATCGTACAATGCAAGTACCTTCGCGTTTTTTTTTAAGAAGGCTTTATCTATGCATCCATAAATATTTATGAGTAGTCAGCTGGCATTCTGCATAGCAAATTGTAGCAAAGGCCGCCATTTTTATATCTTTCCAATTTCGAAAGTCAAACTACCACACAACTAAGAACTGTAAAGAGAACTTGAATTCGAATTTGATCCTGCGCGTGGACCAGGTCCAGGAACGGCAAGAAATACCAACTCAAGGGACAATCGGTCAGAAGAGTACCTTTTCTATAAGAATCGAGCTAAGAACATTAGAAGAAAGAAAGCATTAACATACCGAGCTTACAGCAAGAAGCGTGGGTGGCGGGCTACAGTATGCTGACTTTAACGCTCGACGACGCCCACTTTTGACAAAAAAAAAACGACGTCAAAGGTGCATTTGGCGAAATTTCTCGGACTAATCGAAACTCAATATTTTCTATAGCACAATGCCGCAGGAAGAGGAAGTTATGGTGACCGCTTTAGTGCGAAGAGTGCGTTCTTAGAACGGTTAAGCAGGGAGATAAGTAATCGAACGGTTTGACGATGATTTTCTTGTCATGAGCTTGTACGGCTAGATTTTATAAAATAAACAGCTAATTAAACCTAAATGAAACCGAACTTAATTTTCTGACGGAGGATTAAGCTCTTAGAGCTATTGTGCGACTATAATGGAGAGTGTATTCAGCTGAATACCGTGAGAAATCTACTCGGCGCTGTTTCCGGATTTTGGGTTTATCTAATTTCGCGACTTGAAAGACTTTACCAAAGAAATCGTAGTTCTGAGGCGTAAAAAATGCATGTCATAATGGAATTGCAGCCACAAGAATTGGTTTCAGCAAAGAATCGCGTTCAGTAACAGGGCCGCTTTTCGATGCAATGAATAAAGTCAAGAATTGCTCAAAGTACCCTTACATCCACAAAAATTCTTGTTTATAGGCAGGTAGAAGCTTCAATCCGTTGTTGTTGATGTTGTTATTGTTGCTATGGCGACTACTTAGTTCAGCTTAAATCAGTTAGTTTTTCTTTCGTCAAGCTAAACTACCAGTAGGGCCAGGAATAGTGCCTTTTCTGCCGCGGTTGGACCGCATGGTAAGCTTTTCCCTAATTTCACGTTTGCGCCTGCCAACTGGCCACTTCGATTGTGCGATATCAAAACTTGAGACAATTTCCTTTCGGGCCTTGAAAACCAACATTGTTTGCGCAAATCGACAAGCAGCATTCGCAATAAACAAGGACTGCTCGGTAAATTAACCTTAAATATGGATCACCATGAAATCTATTTGCTAAAAATCACCTTCAAATCCCATTTTCGGCTTTATTCCAAATTAAAATAAACAATTCAAAACATTCACATTTTAGCGAGAATTTTATATATTGAAGACGGCAATATTGAAAAGTCACACCACCTTTAACTTACACTTTGCTTATAAAACCAGATAGCTAAAACAATCACATTGTCCCTTACTTCTCTTACGAACTTCACAAATAAGCATTCAGAAAAACTGCCAAAAACTGTTTTCAAACTCTCACACGCTACCTTGACCAGCTGCGTCCGATTTTCTTCTCTCCATCTCTGCCACAAAATTATCCTCTTCAAATTGTCGGAAATTTTTCTCAAAACGCCACTTGCCCACTTGGCCCGTTATATCCGATTTTCTTCGTTGCATGATTATAATTATATTTGTATCCTTTCCAGCGGAAAATTTTCCTGACAGCTATAGCCTTAAATGGAACTTTTTAAAATTACCGCAAAAAGTAAAGTTTACAGGTTAGCTGAGCCGGATAGCGTTTAACTGCTGAAACCTAATCCATTTTATACGATTTTTTCAAACCCATATGGAATGATTGCTTATCAAGTAGGGAAGCGAAGGTCGGAAAAAGTTCAAATCTAATCAAAAGTCAACACCTAGAGAGCATCAAGCAAAAGCTTCATTATACAAGCGGGAGCGACGTAGTTAGTGAAAAAGGCAATGATGCATGAGTAGAAAATGCAAAGCAAAATGCAAAACACAGTTGAATTTTTTCAATAAGATGGTGTTACCAAAGGTTAAAGGTGACTGAGGTGAATTATCGTTGAGTTGAATGAGGTGTGAGTGCAGTTTAAATGCGATTATTCTTACTAAATTGATAACAATGCAGGGAGCAATCAAAGATAAAGCCAAGCCAGATCAAAAAATAAAGCAACAAAGCAAACAAAGGAGTTTATTGCCAAAGCCGATACGCACTATTTTCTATACAATTTACACATTGGAACGCAAATTTAAGAAACGTAATTTGCATAAAATCAAACCACACAAAACTAGTTACAATTTGTAAAATTGCCATTAATCAGTAAAATAACATGCATCATATATCACACACACAATCACGCAAAATGCAGCCACATACTGTGATATTTGAAAGGATCTTTATCTGCTTAGTGTAATTTGCAATGCACTCACACCACAATTTTCTTCTTTTTTTTAACAAAAAAATAAAAATAAAATACGTACAAATTCGGAAAATTCTATTCAATGAGAATAGAAAAACGAATGAGCCGGGCCGACCAAACTGACACTGACAATCGATGAACGAAGAACGAAGAACACGTGTTGCCTGTGAAATGTTTATTTGCACACTGCCATTTGATTCCACAAATAAAAACTATTCTATTCTCTACTCCTATAGTAGACAACAAAAAAGTGCGCACAAACAAAATAAAATGCTTGCAATAATATTTGAGCGGTCGTGTATATACACTGAGCGAAATTGTGGAAGAAATTTTAATGTAACTTGAAATAGAATTTAGCGTCGTTTTCTTAAGCAGCTTTTAAAATTTATTTGTACTTTGGATACAAATTTTCTTCTAAAAAATGTGTTTGAAGGGCAGATAAAATGTATATATCGCTACCTAAAGGTGAAAAGGTGCCAAGTCCGTTTTTTTCCAATATTTAGTTTTTGATGCAGAATGGCTGGTAATACGAAACTACATCGATTTTTCGGACCCACTGAACATTTTCAAAAATTGAACTTGGGGTACCTTTTCAGCCTTAGGTGACGATATGTAAAATTGAAAGAAGTCTAAAAATACAGTGGTCGAAAAAATTAGGGCCGCACCACATTTTGACAAGTTTTAACATATTCATTTTTAATTTTTTTTTACTATTTAGTTTTGGTTATTTTTTATAAAAAAATATAGTTCATTCTATAGCAAAACCCGTGTAAATCCAAGTTTCAAACTTTGTGCGATATTTAAAAAAAAAATCAACAAATTCCCATACAATTTTCGAGTTTTTTCAGTTAGATTTCCTAGAGAGATTGTGAGTATAGCCATTGAATACTAGTAGAATATAGAAATTTGAAATGGCTAAATATTACCGTTGATTTTTTATATTTTTTCCTGTCGACGATATAACGGTTTTCTTCCCTATGATAATAAATTGTGTGTATTCGTTATATGGGACAAAAAAAATCTAAAAATCAATCAGAATGTACTATATTTTTATAAAAATTAACCAAAATTAAATAACAAAAAACCAATATGTTAAAGCTAGACAAAATGTGGTGCGGCTATAATTTTTTCGACTCCTGTATATACATACATATGTACATATTTGGGGGGTGTTCCATCACAGTAAAATCAATTTTCTGTGTTTATTTTTCCAAACAAAATACATAGTTGCTATAGTTCCTATCAAAAACATAAAATAAAAGTGATCAAATAGGGAAAAATAGGTTCTAAAATTTTTTTTCGGTTTGATATAGTGATTTTCATCCGATACGGTTCCTGAATGAAAACAATAATAAGAATTAAATTAAATTAAATCAAACTAAAATAAAGCAAAATTAAACAAATAAAAACTAAAAATAAAATAATGAAATAATGAAATAAAATTAAATATTACAAAATAAAATAAATATTTGGAAATAGAATAAATAACACAAAAGAAAATAAATAAAGGAATAAAATATGGCAATAAAAATAAATAAAAAATAAGATAAGTGATAAAAAAATAATAAATCAACATAAAGCATGAATTCGATAAGGACCCGAAAATATTTAACGAATTTTTTAAAATAAATAAGTGGACAAGAACTTAAGATAGTTTTGGAAATATTAAAAATTGACTTTGGTGAAACGTAAAGAATGTGAAGAAATTCGACACCAAAACAAATAAATTCTAGGGTTGGGAGCTCTATCCGGATCTTTCGAACATGGGCAAATCCTAGAAATAGTCCAATCAAAAACGGAAAAATGCATGAAACTTAAAAAAAAACAAATAAAATAA